CCACGCCGATGGAGACTCTTTGAGCAAGAACATCCAAAAGGGTGGTTTTACCGGCGCCCGAAACACCCATCAGTGCCGTTAATGTGCCAGGCTTGACCCATCCGTTGACGTTGTCCAGAAGCCGTCGTGTACCCTCTTTGACCGGGATGTCGTAGTTGAGGGCTTTCCATGAGAGGATGTCCGTTTGCTCAGGAAGGTGGATGACTTCGTCCTCGTTGCTTTGTAATTCCGGCTTCGGGGGAGCTGCCTTACCACCTTCCACTCCCTCCGAGGCGGCCAAAAACTGAGGGACGTGACCCGGGCGGAAAACCAGAGTCTCTGCCTTGGATGACTCGCCGGTGTTGATTTCGGAGAAGAACAAGCAGGTGCAGGTAAAGAAGATCATGAAAGCGAGGAGAATACCGAAATTCCTCCAGATGTGGGAGTAGTAATACTCGTAATTCTGTTCAATAAAGGCATCCCCGGAAACGTAGCGTTCGCCAGCTACGGCTCCCACAGCTGAACAGATGAATGAAGACCCCGTACCATAGCTTGGGATCACCGATGCACAAGGGAAGTTCCGCCCATGAAACTCATTAGACACCAATGCCTCGAAGGCGTAGAAGATCGGGTTGATCCAGCGAATCCAAGAGAGCCATGGGTGCATGTAGGGTTGCGGTAGGGTGAAGCCGGTATAGACCACGATGCAAAGGATCATCACACCTGCCATTGCCATGGCTTGCGTAACCGTCTTGGTAGCTGCAGCTAATGTCCGGAAAATTCCCGACATCGTCAGGATCGCCATAATGAGAAACAGGTAGTAGATGAAGAACTGTGACGGTTCCCGGCGCAGGTTGGTCATGAAGTAGAGGACGATACAAAAGACGGAGCAGCGCATCAATTTGATTGGTAGGTCCATGATTATGCTGGCGAGGGATTCGGCAAATGGGTGGACAAACGCATAGCCTGCCTGCTTCGAGGCAATCGGCCTCTGGCTGTATAGTTGCATGATCTCATTCATCGTAACCAAAGCGTTCATGAGGACGGAAAAATACAAGACAGCGCCTTTCTGGAAGAAAGCGGTGGTTGTGTTGGGCGAGTTGTAGAAGATGGATCCAATAACCAGAGACAGGATAACTTGAACGATGACGGTGGACATTGCCGTGGGAAGATCATTGCGCAGCCGCTGAAATGCTCTGCGCAGACAGAGACGCACCTGCATCGGGACGGATAGAAGGTATGGACTTTGAGCTCTAGTATGGCGCGCTTGCCGCTCTTCGTGGTGTTGCTTGAACTCTCTAGCTTCGTCGGCGCCGACTGGGTGGTCGCGTTGATATTGCTCTATCTGAGCGCAGAGCTCTTTGTATTCGGGGCTGCGCTTCCAATAATCGGCGAATTCCTGAGGGGTGCGAGGGACCTTGTCAACCATGTCTGGACGTGCCCTGCGCTCCCCAGGGTTAGTGATGGACGTGAGAAAATCGCCACTAACTTGACGTTCTGGCAGCTCCCATCCCATCTCCTGGAAGAAGGCCACAGCGCGATCACTAGGGCCGTAGTAGATCTCGTAGCCTTCATATAGAAGGACGACCTTATCGAACAGGTCGTACATCGACTGAGATGCCTGATAGGCGGCAACCGCATGGCACGACTGTCCAATGTCGGCAGAGAGGCGTAAGGACTTGATGAGCTTCAGGGCAGACGCGGAATCCAAGCCGCGAGTGCTGTTGTCCCAGGCTCCGATCCGACTCCGAGAAAGGAACATTTCAGCGATACTGACTCGCTTGCGCTCGCCACCACTGACTCCTCGAATGAAATTGTCTCCAACCTTGGTGTTGATGGTTTGGGTGAGGCCGAACACCGAAAGAACGACTTGGGTGAGCGTGTCGACATACTCTTCGCGCGTAATACCTTCGAGGCGTCGTTGAGGAGTACGCGCATAAGCCGCAAATGAGAGGGTCTGGCCAACTGTCAAATGGGGGAAGTGCTGGTCAACCTCCCCATTGTAGGCGACTTCGCCACGATGATGCTTGATCATGTCATCGTATGCCAGTCCCTGGAACTGGATATTACTTTGAGGTTCAAGAGTCAGCCCCCCGAGATGTCCACAAAGAGTCTTCAAGAAGGTCGAACAGCCACTTCCTGGACGACCAAGTACCAGAAGCAGCTCACCACTCTGAAGTAGCCCGTCAAAGTTGTGAAGAATCTGGCGTGGGGGAGGCGACCGTTCTCCCGAAAGAAGTCGGGAGATTCGACGGAAAGGGGTCGTCAGCTGCGTGAGAAGTGTTTCCTGAAGTCGTAGTGCCGAACCCGAGCCGGAGATACACAAGTTGGAGAAGACGACGCCCTGAGTTTGTGGTGTGATTCCTGCCTGACTGTTTGCCCTCAGAACCATTGCTGCCCATCGTCGATGGTCAAATTCCGGATTCGTGGGATCCAATCGGGGGTCGTTCTTTTCGTCAAGGGTCGCAGTGTGTGAGAGTGTCCGGCCATGTCGACTCGAAGCGATTCGTGTAAGATTTTGAAGCTCCTCCTGCTCGTCTTCAGATGTTAATGATACGCTCGAGTCCGACCGATGGTCGCCGAGCACATCTCCGACTTTCTGCATGGCGCCGCCGGAAATGATAATAAACTCGCTAGAACAATCAGTTGATGTTCAGAGGATAGGGCCTCTGAGCCTGAGTGGTTGTGGCCTATGTTGCGCTGGAAATAAGGTTGTACGAAAGCGAACTGATTGAATAGGGACAAGCGAATCCAAAGGTGGATGAATGTATATCAGGAGGGAGAATTTTGTTAAGTATGATTTACCCCTTCCCCTCTCAAGCTGCGTTCATCAGTCTCATATTTAAAATGCTTCCAAACGAAGACGTCGGCAAAGCGCAGACCGCAGCCCGAGACTGAACCACTGGTCCTATTCATCATAGTTTTTATGGTTATGCCTCGAACCCGGAAGGAGGTGAAGCCGGCCCCACGAGATGGAGACGGCTATTCTAGAATGCATTGGCCCAGGCGCCCCCGAGTCGCCATGCACAACTAGAAGTCTGAGTACAAGTTTTTTAAGGCACAGCGCCTGGGGAACGGAGATAGTAGATCGGTCCCGAGCCCCGTGGCAGCAATCCCGTTGGTATGACCAGATTTTGCACTCAGGAGCGGAGCCACTTCGCCTTGTTGGCACGCCGATATTCGCGGTTTAGAGGGCCAGGGGTCGCTTAAAGTTTGTCTGACTCCGACTATCACCCCCTGCAAGTGCTCGAATCGAGAGTTGACTTTGGAGAATTTCCATGCTTTTTCCCCCCTCGCCACATGCGTCAAATCCGGTCTGACGCGCCACAAGGCTCACAATTGAGGCCCAAGCAATAATTGAACCAATCCAGAGGAAGAACTTTGTTGCATTTTTGGCGCTGATTCATCGCGCTGGTTTATCGGTACCGTGAGATGATCTTCAGCACAGCAATTGTGCAGTCGCTGGGGCAGTCGGCGAAACGGAATTCCTAGCGCCGACATCGCGGCGCGCCCGCTGCCCGACTACCGATTGTGGGTTCACAACTGTCATTTGAGGAAGTCTCGAGGTTAGTACCGTGGTACAGCGTTTCACATCTCAGGTCCAACACCCTCATGAATGGAAACATCCGAGGGGCCAGGGGAAGCTCGTCGGCTATTGCAGACACACTGCGTTATCTCCGTCCGACGTGTTAAGAGATGGGGAATGCTTGTCATCATGTGATCTTGAGGCGACAAGATATACGTATACCCTCACTGTGGGAAATGATTCATCGATAAGCTATTGCTTCTGCGGCATGGTATGTAGAAGAGCCGTTGAAGTCCGTCTAGGAAGTCAATGCCAGGCGAACCGTTCTTTGTAGGCAGGTGGGATTGCCAATTCATCCGAATTTCAAGGCAGCTAGCTGTCTTCAGACCAAGGCGAAGCCCCTCAATGACAGACACTCAGGGGTCAAAATCATCTCCAGCAACAGAGTTTCATGATCGAATAAGTCGAAAGTCTAGAATCATGGCCACAAATTCGAGTCATAGTCACCAAAGCCTGGAACCCATACTCAATTCAAGCATGCTCCATAACCCAGGGAGATCATGGATGGGAAAGGAGGGAATCCCATTCGCGCTGCTGCCCATGAGGGAAAAAAGGGATTCAAACAACGCAAACAGAGCTTCGTCCCCGGCCGCCCGGAATGGAAAGCGGTGAAGCCCACCATGCAGTCCAGTAGCTAGAAAAAAAAACCACCACAAACTTGATTCACTCTTTTCCTTTTCTCTTCTTCTTCTCTCTAAGCGCCATCCTTACCAATGCTGCGTTTCTTTGCTACACACGACGAGATCCCTATCTCGTCTTTCTTTCTCGGTTCTTGGCCTATTCTCACGGATCAGCCTCCCGAGAAGAAATTTACCCTGCAAATGAGAAATTCGGAGGAATCTTCACCCAACCACCCGCTTCCCCCTCTTCTTCACGAAGAGGAAAAGCCGGTACTGCCCGCAAGGGCCTGGTGTGATATGCACCTGCAACTGGCATCAGAAACATCGGGGGAGTGAAGGAGCCAGGAAACTGGCCCCCTTTCGCTCGTTTCCCCATGGGAGAGTCGTTGCGAAGATTGTGTGCCACTGGTGACACTTTAGTGCAATACGCAGCATGCTCGGGTTTCTTTTCTTCACGGAGGACTGGGACCGGGTATAATTCGATTCCGATTATTCTGGTAGGGATGGCGCTTCACCTCTCTTTTTTTCCCAGGTCAGTTTTTACCACCCCCGCTCCCACTTGTCTGTTGGGCGATTGTTATATCGCTTGGTGGGAGACTGGAAAGTGCTTGTTTGAAGCCCCGCTAATTGTTGGGTTTGGGGCTTGTATGGTGCACCATCCATGCAAGCATTCTAGGGTGTCGGGCTGTTGGTGTCGGTGCGGTGGTCGGACTTGGTGCAACTCATGGCAAGGATGAAAATAAGTGAACTGGCGACCAGCGGTATCATAGCATCAAAGAGCTTTTAGTAGAAATTTTCAATACAATATCCTAGGTCTCAACGCAGCTTTTCCGGCTTTTAAAACAACAATGTAGAATCGGCATCTTAAAGTGTCCAATTACCAGAATACTCAATTTCCCTTATAAACCAATTGAATTTTGAACAATTGAAACGCTTGATATCTAACAGGATATTATAATCGAAGTGAACCTTGACCCCCGTACACACAATCAAGGGATATTTTTCTGGTGTTGCGGTGTGTCAATGGAAACGAAATAGAAATGGAAATCGTGGCCTCCCTGTTGCTCCCTCTTTTATCATGATGGCATTCGTTGCTCTTCGCAATCATTAGTCTACTCCTCGTCACCAATCTGCGCACACAAGTTAGTCAGCGAGGCAATTCAAAGGAGGATCCAGCGTAGAGACAAACCTTAGGAGCAAGGTAAAATCTGAGATGGCCGCTTCCCAGACCATACTCGACGAGGAGGGGTACCTCCTGGGACAAGCACAGAGTCACCTTGTTGGACAAGTTGGTAGCCTTGCAGAAGTTGACGAGATACTTGAGAGAGAAAGTGAGGGCGACGGGCTCACTGAGAGCAATGGAGACGCTCTGCTCAGGCTTGTCGACGTTGCTGTGTTGACGGACAGTGACAGAGCCGCTTCCAATGTCACCCTGGCAGGAGAACTTGACACCCTCCTTCGTGGCCTCGATAACGACTGTGGAAAGGTCAGCTCAACCCAGCAACTACTCGTTCTCGATGCTGTTCCACATCGTTGTGCAAGGATGCATACCGGACTCGGAAAGAGCCATCAGGTCTCTGCAGATGCGCTGGAATTCGGCTGCCGGCATCTCAACCGTAGCAGCGTACTCTGTCTCGGGAATGGCCAGGTGTTCTTGATCGATGTCCATCAACTTGATATCGTACTCGCTCAGTCTGTCGGTCTCGGCACTCTCGAACATCAGGTTGACGGCATCGGGGGAATCCTCGGCCTTGAGGGTAAGGATATCTTCGTTCTGAGCAGCCCGCAGGACCTTGGTCAGGGAAACCAGGTTGATACCGAGGGCAATGTTACGGTCGCAGCGGTAGGGAGAAAATCCTTCAGCCTTGAGCAACATGGAAACGAGGGCAACATGGGAGTTATCCATGGCCTGTAGAGAGATTCCGGAGTCATTGCAATCGAAGTTGCAGTCCTGCACGAGATCCTTGATCGCGTCGACGACCTGGACAAGCTGATCTTAGCGACGGGGCGGGGTCGTTTGTGGGATGCAATGGTGAAGTTACGTACGCGCTTGAGAAGACTAGCTTGTTCGAGGCGAGCTTCCAACACTGTGAAGAGTTAGAATCGCAGTCAAGAGAAAGATTGAAGATTTGGCAAGGCATACTCTTGATGTGTAGTGGCGGTGTGGTAAGAGTAAGGACTAATTGAGATGAGCTTGATGGTAGGAATGTTCTGGGCAAAGGCAATTATATCAGTGAATGTGATAAGACGAAAATGCAGTGATCAAGAAACCGTGGGAAGAGGCGTACAGAGAGAAGTCGAGAGTTCTGTTGAGTGTGTCTTAAGTTGGAGAGAAATTAGCTAAAGGAGCAGAAAGTGCAGCAAGGTCGCGTCCGCGGGCTTCTTATTCCTACTAGTGGGGGAGGCACGCGTTCGGGTCGCGTCATACCACAGGCTGATATGACCAGTTACGGTTAGCCTGTAGGCCTGAGGCAGGAATCGGCTTGGCCCAGCACCAGCCCCCGCCTCATATACCCGGTGCTTAATGAGAGGAGGTAAGACTGCAAGTGGCATCTGAATGGAGTGAGATTGTGATTTGTTTGGATTAAATGTTTAGTACGATATATACTACTGTTGCCATAATTATGATCGATTAATTGATGTGTTAAGATATGTACACAAGGCAATTTCTTCTTGACAAATGAGATAAACTGGCGACTGCCAGTAGGGATAGGTGCATTCGCAAGACGGTACAGAGTAAGAATATGCAGGCGAAGAATAGTAAACGATAGTGTACAGTTGAAAAAGAGAGAGATCGAGCCCTGCAACGCTCCGAATAAAGTAGATAGTGCAGAGAAAAAGCGAAAAACGAATGCAACACCGCCCAAGCGCCTTTGACACCGGTCCACTCTATACATTTTTGGGTATCAATTGCATGATTTGCTGGCTAAGTTCGGATTCGAGTCGAGACCGGAGCAAGACTCTGTAGAGAAGAATATGTGCGAGGATCGAAGGAGGAAGTTACGACTGAGGTCTGATGGAGCAGTCGTAATAGATAGGTATGTGCGGATTGCCGATCAGATGCTCGTAACACGCTTCGCATACATAGTGCGAGGTCTTTGCTTGATGACCATCTCAAGCTCTTTCAGCATGTTTGTGTTTGCATCAGCACGATCTCGTAGAGCGGCTTGCCGTGCCCTGTCTTCTTTGACACGGGCGATGCGCTCTTCTCTGGTCATGGATGCCCTTTTATTGCGAGGCGGAAGAGCAATTGCTTCGAAGATCTCCTCTGCGTCATCTGCATTGTGGATGATGAATGAATCAGGCCTTTCTCCGTTCAAAGCCCTGAGTGCATCTGCCGGGCTCCCTTCAACAGCCGTGGAGCCCCCAAGGCTAGGGGTAGGTGACAGAGGGATTTTGATACCACTCGTAGGCCGCGAGTAGTCTGTGTTGGGTTGTCTGTCCAGTGCACTTGCCAGTGCTGACTTGCCCGCCTCCCATTCCTGAAGCAGACCCTTGATGTCTGCACCGATAGAATCATATTGAGGCACGAGGGTTGCCTCAAACTCGCTTGAGTCCGGCCGTTCAAGATTTGCGCTCGATGCCTCTCTGAGAATATGCATTTTTGCGTGCAGTGCCCGAATCCCTTGGGAAAGGGAGTTGATCCGACGGTACTGTGCACGAAGGTTGTCCTTGTTAGGCGAGGCGGTTGGTAAAGGAGAAGGAGGAATAGTATCAGCTAAAGCGACAGAAAGATTAGCTTCAGAGCGAGCATTGTACCACGGGCACGCTTACTGTCTTCTTCGTTCAGAATGCTGGTCATTTTGTGGGTATTTTCCCCGGTCACGCTGGCCAGCTCGCGCATCTGTTCGACAGCAGTGGTCCATCTCGCAATATCAGACCCACCACCATCGGCCCCAAGGGCGAGAAGACAACAGAGAATGCTCTTTCTCACGACATAGAGTCTTCCGAATAGCGTCCGCAGCGCACGCAGAGAGTATTGGTCCTCGGTCGCTCGGTCCTGGTATAATCCCTGTGCCTCCACAAGCTCTTCTTCAGAAATGTCATAGATGTCGTAATATTTGGCCAGGTTTGCGTCATCGGTAAGAGGCTGTAAGGTCTGTTGTGCTTGGAGGTATCGACCTAGCATAGAGTGGAAGGATTCGGATACGGTACGGCGCAGTCTCAAGCATCGTCGTATTTGCGTCTGGTCTTCAAGTCTGCTGATCGGTGGCAAAGGTGTGCTTCTATGGAGGAGGTCAATCAAGGCCAGATATAGGAGCAAAAGGAGACGGCCACCTACATGCGGTAGCCTCTCGAGACCAGCTCGACTTCCTGTATAAACACGACTGATGCCGATGCAGCAGAGTCGAATCCCTGGGCATTGCCTATAAATGTCGCCGCTGCATCTACAGCTTGGTGCCGCAGATACTTCAACCACTGCCTCTTCGCGAATGCGAAATAGAACACTCCGATGACGGGGACCAATACCAGCAGCACCCCGATCTTCCATGGACTGAGTCCCGATGCGGGTTTTGAACGGCCCCATTGTATCAACCAAGCAACAGAGAAAGATGTCGACGCAGTCACAAGGGCCCCTTGTAGGCCAAAGGTCGCGGAAATCGAGGGAAGATCGGCAGGTCGTGCAGTAGAGAATACATCCGCGGCTGAAGTATAGGAAGGCGCACTGTGCTCGTTCAACAATTGAGACGCGACGATCACATAACCGAATTGTTCAAGGAATCGCTCGTTGTCGTTTCGTCCGACGCGCGAGTTCAAGGCCGACTGCAGGGAAAGGATTCGGGTTAGAAGTGCTTTCGGCGCAGGGAACCTCATGAATAAGCTATGGCGTCATACCGTGCAGGCATCATAGAGTTTACCCAGAGTTGCCCTCTGTCGCAAGACCTTCTGATCAAGTGGTTTGGAAAGTTTATTCCGAATGCGCTCCTGGAACTTTGAAGCCCCTCGTGGGGCGAAATCCGCCGCGGTGGAATCGGAGAAATCGTCGCTATGCTCGGTCTCCTGAACCGGCCAGTTTGCATCGTGCTCACCCTCCCCTGACGTGACAACGAATGAGACCTTGGAACTCCCATGAGGTGAATTGAGATCAAACTTACCTTGGAGATATTCAGCCAAGGGCGAGTTCTCATAGACAAGAGCTTCCATGATCGGTAAGCATTCCGGGGACGCGAAGCGGGTGAGGTGGAGCGAAGCGACGATTGAACCGGGAGGAAACGCAGGTCGGGTGTCTCGATTACAGATAGGTACAGTGTATCTCCAGAATGACCAGCGGGTAAGAAAATGGGATTATCGCAGGCCCATCTCCGCGACAATCCAATGGAGCGCGTGGTAAAGTCGAAGGAGAGGGAGTCAGGCAGGAGAATATTGAATAATGATCAGTGGAATCCGGTCGGGGGGCGAGAGAAGGAAAGGAAAGGAAACGGGAAATGAGCGTGAACGGCACTAGCAATTGGAAGTGGTGGAAATCGAGGCGTGTAAGGGAGGCTGAGTGGATACTTTCAAGAGGAACAGGAATAGACCGGACGACCGGTGCACTTTTAATGACGGAGAAAGATATACATAGCACGGATTACCCCTGGCAGATGGAGACCCGGAAGTTGGAACAGTGTGCACTGTGCAGCTGTGCAGAAGTACGGAGTTGCCAAAGAGGCCAAGAGGGGCCACGTTGGAGGATCAGACCATGTGTTGTGTAGTGCCAGAGTGAGTGAGAGTGCCTGCTAGTCTGGGGAAACTCGACCGCTGAGCTCTCATTCCACACGCAACTAGGGATTTAGGCGCCCCCCACCAGTGCCACCACCGATTGAAGCTCTGCACGAGAGGTCGATCCGGCCGATTTTGGTTGGTACCTAGTCTTTTTCGTTTTCGTGTTTTTTCTTTCTATTTCTCATTGAGATGAGGCTGTTGACCCTGCGCAGCATTTATCCTACCGGAGTTGAATGCAATCTTAGCTTGTGAACGACTAGGTCATGAGTACCACCCCCTGACCGAGGCTCGGAGCTTCGTTATGCAAGTCATTAGTCCGGCGTTGGAACGCAGCTGCCAATATATTATTCCCTTCGGCCTATTGGTACACTTGTTCATATCGCTCAAATCGAGGTAATACGCGGAAGCCGGCGGCTATAACTACGGTCCATCAACTAGCGACAGTAATGGTCATATTCGAGTCGCCTAGCGTTGACATAAAAGTGGCCCATTCGCAACGCATCCTCCCCTATTATAGTCAGGTTAATACTTTTACGAAGTGCTCAACAATTTTCCGTCATCCAACAAGACTGACAAGGTCGCCATCTTCGCCAGGAACATTGACATTGATCACCATTTCTCTAGAGTTTCGAACCATATAGCATACTTTCAGGGGTGGTAGTGTAATGAGACACAGAGCACGAAAATGGTCATCTCGTTTTTCAGAAACCTCGGCAACCCAGCTGTTCTTCCATAAGGGCACCACCGTACGTTGAGATTATAATCGTCATTGCCTTGCTCGACGCACATGCATGCGAGGGTTCATAGGTGATGACTCCCTAGTAGTCCTGGCTGGACCCGACTTGCACAGGGCTCGCCCCTTCCCCGGAATGATGCACATGCACCTTGACGTATCCTTGCATTCTTAACTTTAATAATCCTCAATGTAGCTCACCAGTCGGGATCATAATACCGAGTTGCCTGAGATTCAAGCTAGGTTGAACTGTCATGAGTTGCGCGACCGCTAGTAACCGTGTTGGTCTCGTCCATACGCTTGCCTACGAGGCATATGGGTGACTGAGGAATAGTCATGTTGATGGAGTGCCGTCTTTAGCGAGTCACGTACAAGAGAATTTGTGTACAGGACTATTGAAGATAGAGGTGCGTACTATGAAATTGGCTGCATGACATAGTAAAGGGCTGGATTAAGTGTGTCACATTTGATGCCTCAGGTGTCTAATCGCGTTGCGCCGGCAACTCACCTGTCAACACCGCGTCTCCATACCTCACATCCAGACCCATCTCGTCCCAAACTTCATTGAATTAGCTTTACTATTCGCCTCGTAACTAGGGAGTCCGCCATGCTCTTCGAGGTGTAATCGCCGAAGTTTCTTCTAACATATACTTCCTCCACTCGACGCGTTACCCATCGACGCAAGGCTACCACCATATATTTCCGCGATCAAGCATGTTGAGCCGGCAGAATTACTAGAGCGATTCGAAAGTGACTTCAATCTATCACTGCCATCAATACGTCTCAACCCAGAAACAACGAGTATCTTATCTACTCCTTTTGAATACCAAGATGTCAAGCTACATCTATGATGCCGTAACCCCCTGCCCCTCGCGACAGGGGACTTCGGGGCTCAATCGAAGCAGCATTAGGGGCTCGCTCGATGGTCTGTGGGACACCAGCATCACCAGTAGTGACTCCACCGAGAACATCGACTTTACGACCGATATTAGACCATCAGTGCTGACGGGCGTCAAGCCCAGGCGCAAAACTCAATCGAACGCGTCCTTCCTGATTCACCACGAATCCGAGGTAGACTCCGTGCAAGCTGCGCCTGGTTTAAGAAGGGCACCAAGTACCGCGACAACCATCGCTTCGTCTCACAGAAAGTCCTTGCTCGCCCAGCCGGCTCAGAGGTTTCGTCCTAAGGTTAGCTTTGTTGCTAGCCCGCAGAGAAAATCACGGCCCATAGGAGTCGTCACGTCAACGCAGCACAGAGAACGGGGCCAGGAAGAAAACAATGAGCTTTTACTGCAGATAAATGGCGCGAGACAGAAGCCTCAGTCTGGGGATGCACTCAAAAAAGCCGTTCGACGCAATACGGTCTACATACCTCCAGATGATACCACAGTTGCGAGCGTGTTCATGGGTCTATTCAGTCCCCAGAAAATGGAGAACGTTGAAAATCTTCTTCGGGAGGATACGCAGATCAACAGCCTGGAGGCACAGATCGCACGGAAACGACTGGCTAAACGGTCTCTCAACTCAGCGGCGCAGCGGGCGCCGTTGAATCCCAGCACGAAAATTGCCCAGGGGGCTAATATTCATGTCGACATGCCTGGCAAAAACGGTGGGAAGGAGAATATACCACCTGGATCATTCTTCATTGATAGTAAAAGAGACCACCAATCCTTGAAGACCAGAGCGCTCTGTGAGCGCAACCAGGCTTTTTTCTCGAGTGGGAATCAAACTCTCGGGGCCAAAGCTGCCTCAAAGCCGACGAACTCGGCGCTAGCTTCCAAGACAAACAATCGGATTCTTAACAAGAATCAGCCCGAGACCAGGAAATGTATATCCGAGACCGAGCCAGTCAAGAGACATCCAGTGAACAGCAGGAAGCAGACAACGTTTTTCAACCACGAAGCCTTGTCAGCCAAAAGTGATGAGGCTCCCATATCAGTGCAGAAGACCATGATGGCAAAGTCCAGAACCCCACAGGTTCTGGAAGCAGAAGAGCTCGCAAAAAGTTCTTGTATCATCCCTGACAACATCACGAAGCCGGAACTGTACGAGGATGACTGGCTCGGGCACCAGGAGGTTCTATTGACCCAGCTTATGAATGAGTTATTGGACACCAGTAATCACAACGCCGGTTGTGTCGATGCTAGCAAACTCAGAAATGAGCTGCTAACCCTATACCAAGGTGCCTCTTTTATGCAATTGCAGAAACGGCTGAAGGCATCATTACTCTATGGTGCTCTGAGCCTGCCAAAGGATGTGCTCAGTGATGCCAGCAAATTGTATCGAGATTTGGGTCTAAAGCGGAAATTCCTTGACTTTTGGATCCATACTTACGACTTGCAAACTATCAGAGCAGCACTGGAAGTGATTACTGGGAGAGCGATTCCAAATTCGAAGCTGGCGGCAGGCATCGGCGACATTGGCGGAGAAAAGGCAATGAAACGAAAACTAGCAGGCTTCTTGGATGTTTTCCTTTTGCAGAACCAGGATATGGATCGACATCCACTAGACCGGGGAGGAGAGGATGGAGACATCGCAGGACGTGCATACCGTCGAACCTTCCTCCGGAGCATCAAGATCATTGTTCTCCTGGATCAAGCAAAGCAATGCTCTGAGGTGTCTCTACCACATCTCCTTTTTCAACCTTCGTCCTTGTACAAGTCCTCCAATGCTGTCTTGCAGGCATTGGGTCAATTGTTATTGCCATCGTGTGGCGACATCATCAAGGCGCTGTATCATCTTAATTGCCAGTTGTCATATGAGCAGCGATCCTTGGTGGAGTACCAATTTGGGATTAACAATATTGCTGTGGATCTGCGCGATGGAGTGAGATTGGCACGACTTGTTGAGTTGTTGGTTTTGAAGTCAGTCTCAGTTGGAGAGTCGGAAGATCAGATCCGGCCATTGTCCAGCAGGCTTAGGTTTCCCTGCATGGGACGGGCAGTAAAACTGTTTAATGTGCAGATCACCTTGGAATCACTGTCTTCGATGGACGATACAAAGAAGCTTGTCCACAATCTGCGCGCGGAAGACATCGTGGACGGGCATCGTGAGAAGACCATTGGACTACTTTGGGGGCTCGTCAACACTTGGGGTCTCGACAGGCTTTTGGATAGTCATGGATTGCGGAGGGAAGTTCATCGATTGAAGGCGGCCACTTCCCGATTCGACATTGAGGATCCCGAAGGTTTGATTTCAGCTTCTTTGGGCATTTCAGGAGGCGAGAACGACATAATCAGATCATTGCTCAAACAATGGGCGAGTACCCTAGCGGAGAACAATGGGCTGCACCTTGAGAACTTCAGCACGTGCTTTAGCGAAGGGAAAATGTACGAGTGCATTGCCAACGAGTACGAGGGGCATATGGTTGCCGATGCTCAATCGTTGTCATCGACCCTGGAGTCTCGCCTTCAAGCTTTCGGCTGCAGTGCGCCGCTTGGTGAGTTAATGGCGACTACCCTGATCGTTTCTGCAACGACTAACCAACCTTTAGTGAGACTGATATGCCCATCTGCTTCTGGTGCTCATATCCCCGACGCCGACTTCACGATCGGAGTCCTCGCCTTCCTCTGCTCTCGAATATTATCTTCCATCAAACGGGCATGAAAAGCTTAGGTAGATGCATCGCAACATTATTTGGAGGGCGGACCTCATGAGCAGCAAACAGCAAGCGAGGGATTCACTACTTTGCGCATTATTTGCTGAGCGTCGGAAAGAACAGAACTGAGTCGTTAGGGTAACGAGGAGTTTACCAGGAAGTTTGGGTTTATTTTCATAAGGGACTCGCTCCAGCCACCTTCACCGATACCAATATCAATGTCAACATTTTATGCCGAATGTTTAGGAGCTACAGTGCAAAGCAAATACTCCAAGTTATGAACTCGTACAGATGGGCCATCAAGATGGCCATATGGCGCCTTCTATCTGCCAGGCCCTGATACACAAACAGCGATGGACTTAGCGGCATGGATCTATAGAAGAGATAGTATATGATTTGAAAGCATGACAGTACAGTACTCAAGGCTCATCTGTGTCTCAATAAACAGACCCCGGAATGGTCTTCCTTCTCTTCCCTCCCTCTTCATAACACCAGTCGATAGAACCATGCTATCCAGAAAGACGAGTACTCTACCCCGTATCGTTGCTCCCATCTTACTGCCTAACTCCCGGCCCCTATAGCTTAGGTCAGACCTCGCTCACCAAGCATCACAAAGCACCTTGCTCTGCTCCGGACCCATACAGCATACGAGCTATATCCTCAAGACTTGGTCGGCTCAACGGATGTCGCGTTGCGCAAGGCCCGAGTAAGGCCCACGCTGATTGTGAATCCCAGGTGCCTGCCTACCCACACAGGGAACGCAATGTTGATGCCTACACCGTCAAACCTGTATTCATGGGGAGCAGACTGCAGCAATCCGGAGCGATTCTACAGACAGCACAACACAGCACAGCTTCCATATCACACCCAGGTCAGCCATGCATTTCCCTTACGTGGGTCGTTCAACCGATGATGCTATCCCAAGCATTCCGGCGTGGAAGGCTTTGCGTCACCGAGATTGGCAACTCCTACTTTTATCGGAAGAAGGAGTTCTGCTAGAAAATGCCACCGAATATCATATTATATCATATCCCCAACCTCCGTGCGCGCGCCTTCGCAGCCGGGATCGTTTTTGAAATAGTGAAGTAACGAAACTTACGGTGGTAGGCCGTGACAGAACGGATAAAAATAGGAAACTAAGTGATTGACGGTCACCCCTTCAGCCCTGTCGCCTGTTCCATCATACATAGTAGTAACCACTACTAGGAAGTATTGCTAAGGGCTAGCATCATCGCCACGGGAAAGATACGGGGAGGCCTGATGGGGAATGACATCACAAGGTCACATCTTTTTCCGTCCGTGTTGTGGTGAATGTGATTTGTTTGGGTGAGTGAGTGAGTGAGTGAGTGACTGACTGACTGACTGACTTAATCATGATTAACTTAGGGATAGTAGAAGGAAGTATAGGGTGAGAGTGAGTATGAGTAAGATAGTCCCAGCTGCTGATTATAAGCCGGTATAGCCGGAGATCTCAGCCACTGATTGAGAGTGAGAAGGCTGCAAACGGTGGGTGGCAGGGCGATGACGTAGCCTACGCTTCTGCTTTTGTTCGGCCCCGAAAATATCCGGACTGTTGTGTCTACTTGTCTCGGTATACATTCTCTTTTCTAACATCTTGTTGTTTTCGGGGGGGGGGGGGGGTTTTTTTTTTAAAAGTTTTTTTTTTTTTTTTTTTTTTTTTTTTTTTTTTTTTTTTTTTTTTTTTCTGACATAACCTCGGCTGTATAATGATATAATCCACAATGACTATCATTGCGAACAAACTTGAATAACAGGTCAAGTGACAAATGCGGGGAAAGTAACAGAGAGAGAGAGAGAGAGAAACACCCGTGACATTCGAGAAGTTTGCCCAAAAGGGAAAGTAGGCAAAGTCTCAGCTGGCACTGAGTGCATCATCATGGAGAAAACTTGACCTCTCTTACTCTCTAGGCGGTCGGAGCTTCTCTCACTGTGTCTCTCTTGCGCTCTCTCCTTACAACCCGACATTAGCGGCCTGCACTCTACTCCTTTGGAACGTTGGAGGAGGCTTGAGTTAAGCTACCTAGCCACCCTCCATCTCCCTCAAATGTGTGCTGGATCATCCTTATTTGCACGAGCTATCATTGGACAAGATACAGATCGCCGCCTCATGATCATTCCCCCCCCGTCGTGTCGATCGCTGATGCGGAGAGGAACAAGGTAGGTTGGCCTTTGAATATCATCCGAGCATGCATTGTGAACTTACATTGCACTCACCACACGGCCGACGGGCCGATCAGTCAAGTCAATTCACTCAATCAACTCGGCTCTTGAGCGGAGATCCCAACTGCTTTCCATCTCCTCATTCCTTCTCCTCCGTCTTCCCCTTTCATTTGGGTCGCAATGGATGGCAGTGCTGGCGACGTGGTTCTTGGCGATTGATAGTCCCTGAGACCATCGAACGCATAGCCTCATTATCTGGACTGCTAAAAAGCAATTCGGCCTCTGCACGGTATCCATCCGACGTGTTCCTGTTCAGTCGTCGCGGTGCCAAGAACCAGCTATGCATCACTGAAGCAGACGATCGACGGCGATCCTCGTCCAAATCAGGAACTCCCGTTTCTCCTATCGCGAGCGATTTCTCAGCCGAACGGCCTCCCCTTGTCCTCCATCCACATCGGTAACGTCTTGGCCAGACAGTGCAAAAGGCCTTTGGAATGGGGTGGGATCTTGGCATCGCTTGGCCGCGCGACCAACTCAATTTGAACCGTCCAGCAACAAATTGCACCGAGTAAGGCAAGGCAAGGAGAGAAGAAGGAATGTGGTCGAGAGCGGAGTACGGGATAAGTCGGTAGCCGCGGGATGGAGAGGAGGTGTTTCTATTAGGGAGCGGGTTGCATCCTCAACCGGCCAGACCTTTCTTTTCCCGCGGCGGTATTATGGCTGTGTTCTCTCTTGGCAAAGGTAAGCTGCTCCGGTCGTCACACCAGAGGGGGGGTGGGAAGGCGAAGTCATCGGACGTTGCCAAGCAATGCTGTGGAATGTTGCCGTGGCCGGTCAGAAGAGAGAAGTTGAGTAAGGGGCAGTCGGACGGGGGGGACAGTCTTTGCTTTTCAACTCCCAGAGCAACTGCCGCCAACTGATCGCTGCATGGAAGGGGACTCAATGTTTCCCCCCTTGGCGCTCTTGGCGGAGGGGTCTTGGCCTTCTCAGTCGGGAATTCACTGAGAGGTGCGGGTGATTTTCTCTCTACCCCTTGTGTCTCTCCGTCTCCAAATGGGGGAGGACGGACGATCACAAGACCCGTTCTATGCTATGTACGGTCTGCGGAATCCCTCCCAGGGGAGAATGTCATCACCTTCTCCTTGCCCTTTGGTGGCATTGGCATTGACACATTCCCAATGGTTACCTACTATGGTAGGATTCCGGACGTGCAATTGGACCCGGCAGGTCGGTCACCCAGGCTTAGACTTTCTAGACCCTCTCTCCTGCCACGGCTGCCCCTACGATTGACGCCGAGTTCTGGACCCTCAAGCAAGGGTGAGGTGCCCCCCCATGTGCGACTTGGGTTGTTGACCATCACTGCAGCAGCGGCATCTGGCCTAGCAGCCCAAGCAACAATCTTATATTCCGTGTATCCAACTTACTGTACATGGTATGGTATTGTGGTTACGGCGAACGAGGGCCAGGCCGAGCTTTCACCAAAAGTACCTCCCAAGGTGCAGAGGTGCAGCATGGGCGGAATTCCGAATCCTTCCATGAAAAGAATCGAACATGCCACCCATCTGGTGAGCTCGGAGAGACAGGTGCGGGTTGCAGCTGTCATGACGGCAACCTCGCATACGGTACATCCGGTCTGAGTGCGGGCTAAGCTAAACTTGAGGGAGGAGGGGGAAAGAAGCAAGTACGAGGGAGTTCATTGAATGATTCGACGATTAGCTCAAGAGTAAGAAAACGCTCGGTCCATCTCCCACCATCCGCGGAGGAAGAGAAAGAGGGGGTGGTTTAGAGGGCAATATGCGCCGGGTCGGCCGACCCTAAAGCGGTTATATGGGATCAAGAGGCTGACCACCAGACACGCAGTGATTGCCGTGCCGGACGGCGTGTTTTGGGGTTTACTCGATCTGGGGCGTCGTGCATCAGGAGGCAGAAGCGCCGGCGCAAATCCGCGAACGACGTTCTTCCGTTGCCGGTGGAGCGAGAGGGAGAAGGCGAGTGAGCGAACGAGCCAGAAGAGTAGAAACGAGGAGGCGAGAATAGGGTATAGTAAGCCATTGTTAATGGTGTCTTCCCTCCACCCCCTCTCTGCCTCTTCCTTAACGAACTCCTCCGGAGTAAATGAAACGACTGGGTGCTTTTGTGCAGTGCACACGGGGCTTAGTCTTACTAAGGTAATTAAATCCCTCATACAATTTGGCCCTTTGGGGCCGACGTCGGCCGTTCAGCAGTACGGAGTACGGATACTTGGCTGCCTTTTGGTCACCAGGACCAATAAGATATGACATATACCCCCCCGTTCGTATGTATGAGATGCTGTAGTGTATGCCACCATGCCTACTCACTCCCTTGAGCTGGAGGGTGGTGGCTGCTCCGTACTCGACAAGAGCCCTGTCAAGTGTGAAGTTATGCTATTCTTATCCCATTGAGAGATGATCCGGGAACGGGTCTGAATATGTATAAGGAGTGGATTATACAGGGGCAGCCATCATCCCTCAACACTATACTGGTGTGTACAAAGTCGAACAAGGTGTCAAAAGCTACAGGGGTAGGAAAAAAAAGTACAGTACTGATTCCGCAGGACTCCACCCTCCTCTCAATTTCCACAACAAACCACTCAGACAATCGCATTCAAGACTCTGCTTGTTCTTTTGTTCGTTTCGATCATGCTTGATTGCTTGCTTGCTTGCTTTGTTTTGCTTTGCTTTGTTTGTGTTTGGAAACACAGTCTGTTGTCACTTGATTTTCAATAGCAGTGTAGAGTTGAGGAATCCACTTTGCACACGTACGACGTGTTGTTTATTTTCCGTTGCTCCACTACTCCGTACTATACTATGGAGTGCAATGGTCCGATGCACTTGAACCCCCTCCCCTCCCCACCCCACGTCTTGAATCCTTCTCCGTCTCCCCTCTCAAGGCAGATGTCATGAAGGCTGGGGTGGTGTGCAGTTACTGCCACCGTGGACAGCACTCACTAGCTGAGGTACTCAGTGATTTTCCTCTTCCGGGTAGCCGGTGACTGACTGACTGACTGACTGGCTGAAGTAGACAATCGAGTTGAAGCTGCCGGCAGCCCGACGTACTCCGTCCGGCCTTGTTTACGTTGTTTTGCACTTCACTCAGCATATAGGAACCACTGTAGGCTCTCGTTGTGGATGCTCCACGCTCAGCAATAAGCTAAGCTCATCTGCCTCTGACACCCCCTACGAAAGTAATTGCTCGTCATTGAAGTTATCCCACATGACACACACGAGTATAGAGTAACTTAGTGATCGTGATCAACTACCAGACCCAACCAACAATCCCCCAATCTTCCCTCCGATCCTCCGCAATTCCAAAACCCCAGGATTTTCAACCAAAGATGATGGGACTGTTACCCGGACCCCAAACGCCCCCAAACGCCCTCCCCCAAGGAATCAGGATCCCTTCCACGCTACATAGTACATAGTACTGTACATCATTAGGCTGGGTTGTGTTTGTTTTTGCGTACCCCCCGAGCCGTGCCCGGTAAGCCACCATGCACCCATTTCCCTCCTCCCGATTTGTATGAGTGTTGTTGTTGGTGTTGTGTGCCCCCCCCCCCCCCCCTTTCCCCCCCCCCCCCCCCGGTCCCCCGGGATTACTGGAGGTAGTGTTCCCGGACGCGCGAGCTTCTTTAGCTTAGCCTAGCCTGGAGCATGGCCTAAATCCTGTGGTTGTGTTTGTTGGACTGCATGTACTGTACTTTGCAAGACCCTGGTTCGAACACTGCTGTAGGCTGTAGGATGATGATGAGGAGGAGGAGGAGGAGGAGGAGGAGGGGAGGGAATTGAACACTCCGGAAGAAGGGGGTTCTAGATTGGCGGAGAAGTGGTCGCCATGGCTTTTTCTCTTGCGTGCTCTCGTTCTCACTTACATTGAGTACGGCGTGCCGTACAATAATAGCTGAGGGTGCTTACTCGTCCGTTTACTTGTTTATTTGCCTGCTCTGAAGTCATGGTCATAGTCATGGAGACTCAGGAGGGTCAAGGTAGATAGATGCCTGGGAGGGTGTAACTCGAATGAAACTGGTCCTCCGCCCCTCCTCCACCACCACCACCTTCGTGGACCAGGTTTACACTCTCCCCCCTCCCTCTTTTTTATTTGTGTGTTGATTGAATCACGGTTGTAGTAATATTAACGTGAGGGAAAGAGGATCGATTAACTTGATGAGGTAATGCAGACGAGCATTCAGGTTGACATTTGCTGTTTCGTTGTCGGTGTGCGTCTTTTTCTGGTTGTGTATGTGTGGATTGGAGGGTTGGAGGACAAGTGATCGCTTCACTTGTATGTGATCTATGACCTATTGAAGTTGGGGATACTGTCAGAGAAGAAAAGGCTCACCGAGGAGAGGTTTTGAAACTCCCCTCCTGCTAAGCTAGGCTCAGCTCAGCTCCGCTTAGCTACCCAGTACTCTTCTCGAGTGATCATGACTGGATCCCGGGATATCGTCGGAGGGCAGGAGCAGAGAGAGAAGGAGGGCGGGGATGGAACCTGATTGCTGGAATGAGGTGGCTTTTGCATTCGGCGATCTGATAGCCATGATGCCCGTGTGAGTGGAGATTCTCTATTGACAAGAGAGGCAGGAAATTTATTATTATTTTTTTTTGAGAGGAGAGCTTGGGTCATTGGTTGCGTGACTTTGTGCCCAGGGCCATGGTGGTGGTGGTGGTGGTGGTGTCGTGACAAGGTGGGGATAATCCCTGAATCGTGGGAAGCTTGCCCAAGAACTCTCGCCGAGTAGTTGAATCGTAATCCATGGAAATCATTCATGGCATACATGTGAGTACATACAATGGCTACCCTAAAAGTGGAGGACAATTAACTATAATCATACACAGTTAACAACATCAAAGTTAGATCTCCGCTTTTCTTTTATCGGGGCGATCCAAATAGGACTGTCATGTCATGTCATGTCATGTCAGATCAATGATCATGAGAGTCACGTAGGGTTCAAGTTCTTACATTGCACTAAAGTGATCGCTTGCTTTGCTCCCAATTCCCTCTGCGTATAACGTAGAGTAAGGTTGCCAGGCTGAAGAGAAGATCAGATCAGGTTCGCTGTGGTCTCCGGGCACTCAATTCGCGCTTACCTACCGTGGTGTCCCCGCCTGTCCTCTTCCCTCGTCGCTTGTTGGCGTAGCTTCGCTGACCGCTTCTCTGACTGCTAGTCAGTCAGTCAGTCAGTCAGTCAGTCAATCCATTTGCCCTTTGCCCATCGCCCATCGGGCATGAGTTACTACTCAACTCATCCCTAGACACTGGCAGATGGAGAACAATGGATCTCAATCATCCCCCCCCCTGACACAAACCACTTTCCCACTTCTCCCCGGAAAATACGGCATCTTCAGCCCAGCTACTGCGTAACAAGTTTTGATCTCTCGGGACTGGAGTTGGATGATTCGACAACCCCTTAGTTCGTTGTCGCTGACCCCTACCTTAGGTTCACATAATTGCTTTTTCTTTACCTTCTTCGTCTGGGAGACAGGCACCCAGAGCTTGGCGTACGCACTGCGGAATGTGTGTTGTCTTGTAAGTAAATTCGTATAGTGTCTGTATGGATGTGGGAGTGTATGTAAGAATACGATTCTTCTTGAGGGATACTTGATGCTGTCAGTGTTCTTCTCGGCACTGGTTCCCTGTTCCTAAGCCCTGCTCTGCGCCCCCCCTTCTCTTTTCAGGCAGGGAAATCCTGGAGCTGATGATCGTCTTGGGAATTTCTTGTCATGAATGCCTAAATCTATATTTGTCGATGGGTGCTGGGATATGGGGAGGTGATTCTCTTCTTGGCTTTTTTTCTTTGTTCTTGGTGGTCATTCGGTACATGGTTGTTGTAAAGGATGACTTAAGGCTTTTCGAAATGTTGTTGTCTGGTTTCGGGCTGGGATGAAGTATGAGTTTAAGCTCTGTAGAACAGTGCTGGCGCCGGGAAGTAAACAATGACAAAGCCATCATTCATCTGCACCATCAAGATTATCACGTTCTGTTTTTTCTGTTTCAGTTTTCATCGATTCCATTGATGTACTACTACTGTACGAATGAAGTCTAAACTCACAGATCAAAGACATCGTAGATCGATTTGTCGCATGTGGCCAGCCTCAGGGCTTGTTTCAGATACTTGACTCAACCTAAGTAACTGCCTTACAGCAGTAGCTCGATCTTCATTTGTCCGTAGTTACTCAGATCCACGGACGCACAACTGCCTACGTACTATGCACCTGCATCTATCTGACCTCCCCGTAGTCTACTGTACCGACGATATAAGATCACACTGCATGCTTATCCATCGAAATATCCAAAACACTAGTGGATTAAAGTGTGTGGCTCAGTTTCAATAGAACCCAAACAGACCACCCAAAAGACAATTCCAAAATGTAGCACAGCCAAGTGCCAGCAAGTTGATCAACTATAGTTTCCGCCCAGACTGCTCTATTGATTCAGAATAAGCTGTGACCTCTTTCGCTTTTTTTTTTCCTTCTCGGCTTGCTTCTTTTCTAATTCGGGGGTCTAGTTATCACTCAAATCACTACGAACTTTAAAGTCAGTGTGAGGAAGGTTACGGACCACCCTGCATCCCCATCATTCATTTCGACCGATCTAGTCCTTTGCGATCTCCGCCGGTACGGCTGCTAGATCTGATGCGAAGCGATTTTTTTTATCGATGAGTCTCAAGCCATAATCGGGGTTGATTTGTAGGATTGGGGGGGGGCTAGATCTCCAAATCATGGGGCTCACCACTTTCCAGACTGCTGGACTCTGGGCTGTAGGCCTCGAATTCTCTTTACGGTCATTGTCATTAACTCGATAGCGTCATGAACCGTCATGTCCGTGAGTGTCGGGAGGAGGGAGAGGAGGGAAGGGCTGGAATTCTTCCCATGGTTGGTGACGGAGTTAGGTGGTAGCCGTTGCAGAAAAGGAGGGTCACCATCCATCATACTCCGGGGTAAAGAAGAAGTAAGCTTGAAAGTCTCTCTTCCCCACGTCGTCATCACAGGGGGTCAGGGGGAAGGGTGTGCAGAAGATAGTTAGGAAGGTGAGTCTTAACGAGTCTGGATGGCCGATGACCGGAGAGGTAGGAAGAATAGATCGGGGCCCAGACGTTCAACTCTTACTCTTTTCTTCCCCCTCCGGACGGGATTGTGAGATAATGATGAGCAAGTTCGAAACTTCACTTTCCACAGTCGTGGTACGATGTTGTTTTTTTAGTGTCTGATCGGCATTGTCTGGTCTTCTCTTTCTGAGTACTGGACAGTACGACTGAATATCTAACCGACACGACTGGCGTTTCCTATCCGGTTCCAAGCACTAAGGTCAAATGCGCACTAGCCTCTTCGTCAATCAGGGGCACACACACACACTTCCACTCAGTTGCGTAGCTCAACTTCCCAGCGATGGGAACCGGGAAAGGCTTTACGTCAGAGCCGCCAAGATCGTGGCTTTTCCGGATCAGGAACGAGCTGGCAATTGGAACCAGCTCTATTGCTCAAGTGTGTCTCGGCAAAGGCAATAGTCGAGAGAATACCAAGCATTCATTATTGAAATTGATAGAGGCCAAGTGCGAGGACTTGTAGCATTGTGTTTGATCCAAGGGGGTTGATATGCAAGAAGGAATTCGAGGTTAAGGGGAACAATAAGTGAGGCGCGTGAAGTCATTGCTTTAGTTACATTGGGAGGGAGAGGATGAGAAAGACTGGGAAGGACCCCCATTAGATGTCCGTCCTAACTACGTATGTCGTAGCGACAGTGCGACACCGTCTTCGCCGAGAGACCAACCATGCTAGACTCTTCCTAGACGGACTTACTCCATTACTCTGTCATGCGGAGTAGTTAGTTAGCTATCTAGCAAGCTACTCAACACATCGCGGTGCGACAAAGCACCCAACGGGCGCATCTCAGGTAGGGTAGAGAGATAAGGAGAAAGGGAGTCCTACTTTATGCATGAATAATGAGTAACTAAACCTTACGCCAGAATAACAACAATCAATCGGACATAAACTAAACTCGACTGGTGCTAGAGGTCCTAACCCATCGCCAAAGGCTTCATAGAGCGAAGCATTGCTGAAACGGCTTCGGCGCGACCCCGACGACGGATGTCCACGACGGTGGGTTGGTGGTTCTTACCTAATTGGGGCCCGCCCTCGTCTGTTCGGGTTCGCCTTGCCGTGCACGGCTGGAAGCGCCTGTCTGTAATTACTCTGACAATACACCCTGCCGTTTCAATACACGGCCCGTCATGATTACTGACCAGTTCGGTCGGTCCGTCCATCCACTCGGTCGGTAGGGCAACTTTTCGCCCACACGATGAGGGAGGCGGTTACGAGGACAGACAGACGGCAACTGCCAGTTGCAGCTCGTGCCGCTCAGATGCTGCCACTGCTGTTGGTGCTAGACTAGCTGCTGCTGCTGGCTGCTGGCTGCTGCCCTGCCCTGCTCCGGCGTGTCCTCGTGGGGTGAAAATCGATCATCTTCTCACTTCATCGTCCTCCCTCTCGTCTCTCCTTGCCGCATACTACCTATGTACAGACTACATACAGTACACGGCTGGGGAACCAGTTCTTCCATTTCTTCCCTGTCTGGAATGTTGTTGTTTCTTTGCATTCGAGATTCGTACGACATTCCGATCAGATAAATTATCTCTCCGTCGTACATGTTCTAGAAAGAGCCAATCAATCCCTTGCCTTTCTCTGAATTGTGTCCCTCTTTTTATTCCTTTTTCTGTGTTGTGCGTTCTACAAAGTATTATCACCAGGTTCGTACAGGATCGAGGGTTGAGAAAAAGATCCTAGCGAGTCGCGGACGAATAAGTCAGCTATACCCAGCGAGGGAATTTCTGGCTGACCGGGTCAGTAAGATCGAGTATAGCCTGGCTTGGTCGTGAGCCAACTTTCAAAATGCCTCATAGTGATCGTGGGGGGAGGGGAGGGGGGACGGCTGCTGTCTCTGATACTAGTCTTGTCTCATAGGATGAAACCGGGTGGTAACAAGAACTGGTGACGCCCCCCCAAGAGGCAGGTCAAAGGGACGAACAATAAGGGCTCTTTCAATGGTTTTTTTCGTGTTAACTTAGAATCTTTAACCGGATCTTTGGGCTCTCAATTGCAAAAAGGATATTTTTCCAGTGCAAAGTTTTTCTTTCTTGTCGTGTTTTTTGATCTTTATTTTGGCCACCCAGTACTCCGGGATTACCTAGTTCAGCGGAACAAAGACTGCGCACTGCTGCTTCATCGTGGTATCGATATGTATTGGTCATGAACCCATCAGCGTCACGTAGCCGCAGGAACCAAAGCATTGCATTGGGTTGAGGAAGCAAAAGGGCTGCAAAGCACCAGAGTGGAGCCAGGCTTGGCGGGGTTGGTTGGACCGAGCGTCTCTTAGGCCCTCTGCGCAACGAAGCAAAAGAAGCCTCAGAGAAGATCAGAACATTATCCCCCTGCGGATTGGTTGATGCTGGTCTTTGTGTGTGTGTGTGGGCGTGTGGGCGTGTGTGCGTGAGTGTGGCCTGGCTTGCCCGCTTGCCTGCTTTTCATCTGTAGTAGTCTAGTCTCTGGTTCAGTGGTTTCCTGCCCTCGATCGGTTTGCCCTGCCGTGGGAGAAAGTGTGGCGACGAGAGACAGCTAAACCCGGTTCAGTTGCTGCTGGTGCAGGTGCAGTGCAGTAGACTCGGTGTTGTTCCCACCCCGATGGAAAGGGAAAAGAACCAAACCTGGCGCCGCTCTCCCGCACCGCACACACCTCTCCTCCCCAACTGAAAGGGCTTTTTACCCTGCAAATCGTCATTCACCCACAATAGTTACTACTACTCCCCCATTTTAACCGCTTCCCTATTTTACCAACACCAAGTACTGTACTGACACTGTTTAATTACATACAATACCACCTCTCTTCTCTCCTCCACCAGGCTCAGCTCTCTCTCTCCCAGTCTCCCCTCCCCCAACCCTGAAAAGAATTTTCTTTCCCGATTTAATTTTTCTTATTCTCCATTTTAATTTCATTTTAATCATATTTCATTTTAATTTTTATTTTTTGCCTTTTCCACCTTCCCCCCCCCCTCCCTTAATCACTTTTATTTTCCGATCATCTCTACATTCCTTCTTCCCTCATCTCAATCCCACCTAACACTGCCAACACATTGCACCTGCGAAACTCTTTCGACGCGTCTTCTTCTTCTGGCGCTCTCTGAGCTGCCAATCTCTGAAGAAGGCGTAAGTCCATCTCTTGGCCGCATACCTGAACGCTCTTGTCCTCCTTTAACCTTTTACTCTTTACGCTCCACCTACCGCACCATGTGTTCTATATCATGACAATCCTCGTCCTGCTAAGGACAACCTAAAGCACCGCCCTCTGGGTCGATCAGTACTTCTATTGATCGATAGCGAGAGAGCATCTTCCTTCTTGATCTTGAATTGAAGCAATTATCCTTTATTATCCTTCTCCTGGAGACTCAATATCCCATTGACTCGCCCTCCGTCTTAACTACCTACCACTTACCGCCACTATCCCGCCGAGTCACCTCACCTATACGACCAACCCAACCTCCCACACCTCCGAGCCACCTTAATCTCCCTCTCACGCCATCTCCGACCTACCTCCTGTCTTACCTTATTAATATCCTAATTCTTCAAGGAATGGCACAGTTGCGTGGTGGTGAACGGCCATTTGCCTCAATACACAACCTACTGAAGATGCTACTCTCACCTCACCAGTCCAACAAGTCGGCCCCTCAAGATACCGACATGGTGGAGGATATGGATGAACCTCCTGATCACCGTTTTCTGAATACTTCAATGAACAACATGGACGAGGGTGTCGTCTACGTCAAGTCTCCCACCGCCATGTCGGATCGCAAAGAATCACTCCTTACCCGGGCCCTGAAGAACAGCCCCCCTCTCAGTCCCACCGACCACGCTTCGTCCTCGCACGAACACAGTTTCTACCGCTCCTATACCTACACGAACATCAGCGGCATCTCCACCGCAGAGCTGACCAGCGATGGTGGCCTTACCAGCCCGTCCTTGTCCAACACTCCGAGCCCGCCACTGCCTTCCCACCTGACCAGCAAGCCCTCTTCAATGGGCGACAAGCGAAAGGCGGAAGCTGTGGAGGGTGGTGAGCATGCTGTGGAGGCGAATCTGGGGCGCAAGAGGTGCATCAGCTTCGCCTGCGGTCGCAAGGCCGAAGAACCAAAGCCCGAGACCCCTATCGCACAGCGTTCGACAGCCAAGACCAACGACTCCAGCCCCACACCCACGGAACCTAAGCGCAAGACCGTCCTCACGTTTGTCTGCCCGGCACGGGACCCTGAGACGAAGAGGGAACGGTCTCCCCACCGCCCGAATGCCTTCCGGTGCCGCCCGCGCGGGTCGCCTGCGCCTCTCGCACGCAAGGCTTCCCCGAAGAAAGAGACCCCTCCCGCCAAAGAAGCCGCTCCTGAGAAGCCTGCACCCGAGCGTCGAGGTGTTCCTACTAAGGGCTTGGGCAAGTTCGAGGAGTCCGAGGCCACCCGCTTCCACGAGTTTGCTAGCTCCATGGATGAGGACGACGAATGGGTGACCAAGTCTGGGGAGTATGAGCAGAAGATTACGCTAAATGACTGCATGAAAAAGGAATTTGCCATCCGCAAGCTCGGGGAGGAAGCCGAGGAAGAGGCCCTTGATGAGGAGGCAGAGGAGGACGCAGACGATTCCGAGGATGACTCAACGGTCCACGACTTCTCTTCTGACGACGATGGAAATGAGTCAGACAACGAGGCTGGCTTTGCCGACTCGGATGACGAAAGTGACAATGGTTCAGACTATGAGTGGTGGGCTCCGACTAGTACGACGGCTGCTACCAGTCCTCAGGCCCCGGACTTCACTCGGTTCACGTTCAGCCGCCGCAACTCGAACACCTCGCTCGAGTCCGCAAACGATAGCCACCAGCCACAGAAATGGTCCCCCGCCTTCTCCGGAAATACCGGTGGTCGTGTGCCGATGAAGATCCCTAAGCTGCGTCCCGGCACCCCTAACCTTCCCGATAGTACGGATTTCGTCTGCGGTACATTTGACGAGGATCGTCCTCTGGAGGCCGCCTACAAGTCTTGCATTGAGCAACGCCGTCTGTCAAAGCAAATCATCATCCCCCAGGATATCGACCCCAGTTTCCCTACCTCAGATCCCGAGGACAACGAAGACATGGACGAAGAGGATGTTGCCGAGTCTGTTCCAGAAGACGGACCTCGAGGACGGACTGGTCGGGACAGCAGCCGCAAAGCTTCTCCCCGCCAGTCTCCCAAGCGCATGGTCTCTCCCCCTCCTCCCAAGCGCATGGTCTCCCCACCTCCGCGTCGTCATGGTCGTGCATCTCCCCGCCGTCTACGGTCGCCACCACCCATGAAGCAGCGGTCTTCAACTCGGGATCTGGAGACGGTGGATGAGGTGCCTGCACAGGGACTTAACATCAGCGAACTGGTGCAGCGTCCTTCCATGTCCCGCACCAAGTCCCTCCCTCGTACCCCTAACCCATTCTTCACCAGCCTGGACAAGTCTCACCGGTGGTCTGGCATTGTTCCAGTGCAGGAGTCGCCAGAGCGCGATCTATCACGCACCCGTGAAGTGCACATGAGAGGCCCCATCGATATTGTTGAGGGTCTGGAGAAGAAGCGTCAGAAACGGAAGGAGAAGTTTTGGCGCACCCATTGCCGCAAAGCTGCCAAGGAGCAGATGGAACGGCGACCGATCCCCGGCAAAGGTGCTGAACGGATGAAGGAGCTTGGCCTCGAAGTTGCTGAGAGGTGCAGAGCTTATGGCGTTGGAGAAAGCGCCCAGCTCGTCCTATCCGTTTAGACCGATATTTTGCCTTCGAATGAGGGGATTCGAGTCCTTCTTGTACATACTTTGATTATTATTTTCCCCTTTCAGTCGCCCGCTCGAGCTTACGATTTCCCGTGTGGATCGACTGGGGTGTACAGAATTGAACCAAGCGTCATTCGCTTTTGCACTTAAGCTTGCCTTCGCTGTCCTTATTTACTCTGTCAACGTGTCCCACGGTATTCGATTGGTTCGAAATGTTCCTTTATCTGCATATGTGCTGGGCGGTCGCATTTTTCGTGTGTGTCTGGCTCTTCTACTTTTGCGGTTCCTTTCTGTCCTTGATCTTGTCACGATTATCGATTTTTGTTTTTTCTCTTTTATTGCGGTCGGTGTTTTGCTCGATTCCAGCCTGGATTTGCATGGCGGCGGATTCCTTTGAGATTATACCCCTGCTTGTTTTCTCTTTGTCAGGTTACTATTATTGTATTCAAGCCCCAAGGCAACGGGGAGCGATCCGGCTTTTTTTTTGAAGTCAAATGCCAAACATTTACATCATATACCCAAGATGAGTTGGCCAGCGAAACACGTTGTAGCATTTAGTGTAGATGCAGTTACAGCAGACAGACTTGAAGGTCGGGACCGGCAGATCTCCCGGCGGTAGAGTTGGTTGAAAGAAGTTGGTTGGCATTAGCGCTCGGCTAAGGCGTCAAGGCAAGCGACCGTCCAACGTCAACTGACCGCAATCTGTCTCCTTCCCTTCCCTCTTATCTCCCGTCCGTCTCGTATCCCAGCTCGTACCACACCACCGCCGCTGCTTTTGCTGCTGCTTGCTTTGCCTTTTCCTTCTGGAAGTTCCAGCGATTTCACTGATTTCAAGCATTTGCCCACCATGTGGATCATTAACTGGTGTAGGTAGCTCCCTTCCTGAGTCGGGTGTTATTCCATTCCCCGATGCGAACGTGCTTACTTTGCCCTGGGAGAGCGCGAACACGAGAGTGGGCATGAAGAAAGAACGAGAGATGTTTGGCAATAGCTCATCGTTTCAGTCGCTTGTCATGTGTTCATATTCTTTTCGTGCTTGACATGCTGACAATCGCCGTTCCCTTCCATCTAGTCTACGACCTTCTGGCCTCCCTTGGCCTGCTCAACAAGCACGCCAAGCTGCTCTTCCTCGGTCTCGACAATGCCGGAAAGACCACCCTCTTGCACATGCTGAAGGTACGTGATGATGGAGTTATCACTGTCTGTGTGTGGGATAGTGTACCAACGAGGGTGGTGGCTGTGTTGGATCAGTCTACCATTCTTGGGGAGGAATTGGGCATCCACAAAACAAAGCCCCCCCCTCTCTTCTTGCTCGAAGATGAGACGATGGGGCCAACCTTGCAAAAGAGTCTAGAATGACAGACTAACCTTTCGGCTCTTGCGATAGAATGACCGCGTTGCCATTCTCCAGCCTACCGCTCACCCCAGTACGTTTTTCGCCACCCCGCTGCTTCCCGCACGGCTCATATTGGTTGAGCTTCGTGAGCTCGTGGTAATGCGGACTGCAAACTAACCTTGAAGCTTAGCGTCGGAGGAGCTTGCCATCGGTAACAACCGCTTCACGACCTTCGACCTGGGTGGTCACCAGCAGGGTGAGTAAACTCAATTCAATAGAGAGGAGATATTCAACCGGGGAGGGCAAGAAGGCACAAGAAACTGACGTAATGGTATATGCCCACAGCTCGCCGTCTCTGGAAGGATTACTTCCCTGAAGTCAGCGGTATCGTCTTCCTGGTCGACGCCAAGGACCACGAGCGGTTCCCCGAGTCCAAGGCCGAGTTGGACGCCCTGCTTGCGATGGAGGATCTGGCCAAGGTCCCCTTCTTGATCCTGGGCAACAAGATCGATCATCCGGATGCCGTCAGCGAGGATGAGCTCCGTCACCAGCTGGGTCTGTACCAGACCACGGGTAAGGGCAAGGTCCCTCTTGAGGGAATCAGGCCCATCGAGGTGTTCATGTGCAGTGTTGTCATGAGACAGGGTGCGTTTGGCTGAACCATTCCCCTTTTCTTTTCTGGTTGCGGATGCTAATCATGTGGATTTTGCGTGCTACAGGTTACGGCGAAGGTATCAGATGGCTGTCTCAATACGTCTAAACGGTTGTATACCCATCCTTGATTTACCGGAATCGCCTAAGCCTACCTGCCAACCGTACCGATATACACCATCCACCCTTCTTCCCCCTTAAACCCTCTTGTCTACTCTACCGCTTTCAATCTATACCAATATCTACAACCTGTCAAACATACCCCCCCAGAACCACTTTCTTCCGTTGCCCAGGATTGGGTGATAGTCCGGAGCTTGTTCCCGAACATCGCCCCTCTTTGAAGATTCCCTCGAATGTCATCCATGCTAGTTATGAGTTAGCCTAAACCTCGCCTCAAACTCAACGCAGAACCCCCCCACCAGTCTCCCTCTGTCGCTCAGTTTGTCAGCCAGTTCCTAAACCGCTATTTTGGGAGCGAATCATCACAGCTAATTTACACTACGGGTCCACGTGCTGGTGTGCTGCTGCTGTTGATTCCGCATCCCTATCCACCCATCTCAAGCAAATCCCATTGGTCCTAGTACTAAACTTGCGTGTGTTCTACTTGTGCCGCCACATCAGCTTCAACCATTTCTCTCGCGCTGTTAAATACTTCATCCTCGCAATTCAAACTTCACCCAAGTACCTGATTAGATCGACCAAGGTAGGCGATAATGATGAGCCTACATGTCGCGCAGAGTAGTAGTAGTAGTAGTAGTACTCCATTCCGTCTAGTTAGCGGTTGTGAACCCATTCATTATTACCATCGGCCGCATCCCACACATCAACATCCTGATTGAGATCAAAATCAACGAAGTAGAAAGAACAGAGCATGCCCCTTATAGCAGGGATCGAGTACAGGCCAACTGAACCTTCACACATCGTTTCACACTCTACTCCTCCCCCAGCCCCCTTCAAAATCCTCTCTTCTAACACCATGATCAAAAATCCCAAAGTCCAAGCCGCATTCCCCCTAAACAGCTACTTTCCAGGAGGGGGGGGGGGGAGGGATGACACAGCGGTGCCACCCACCCACAATACCCTCAAAACCAAGCACACCTTACTGATCTACTCCCTGCATTGACTCTTACAGAGGCCGGGATTTTGTTCACGAACGCACAAACGAAACTATTGCCGTTCGAAACGACGAAGCAGTAGGTGGATTGGATTTCTCTTGACTTCTGTGAAATCTTCTTTGCGACCCTAAGCATCCACTGAACGCCGCCGGATGCAGAACCTCGTCTATCGTCTTCTATTGATATAAAATCTTCTGGTCCCAGATGTCGAGTAACTGAGATGGAAATGACGTTGTCACTAGTGAGGCGTGGTACGGACGAGGAGGGATCGATCAGTTGTTTTTGCCGCGTGGGAAAAGGAATGTATTACCATAGTACCATACATTGAGGGTGTGGTCTCAATTAGGGAGGGGGAGGGTGGCGATATGTTGGGTGAGGGTGTTATGTGGCCGAATTAACTTGGAAAGCGAGTTTTGTCGAGCAGCAAGCAGTGGTGGGCGATGATGCGCTGCGTTGCTTGTTGGAAAGTATATGGTCACGTGCCGGATGGTTGATAAAGAGCAGGGCAGCACAGGACAGGGTATGAATGGTCTCGTCCGGAACGTCAAAAGACACGGGCGTGTCATTGCTTATTTGGTTGGCATTACACTCACAAGAAGATTTTCAGGAAAGAAGAAAAACGCAAATGGAGAACAACACCAGATGCAAGCCCGTCGCTTCGCCTTCCTCTGTCAAATGGATTCGAACAACATGAGATAAGATGGGTAAAGAAGAAAGGAAAAAAAAAGAGGTCAATAAAGACGAACAAGGAGAAAGGAGAAGGAAATGAGAAATAACACCAACCCCTACTTGGGAGCAGAAACTACCTTCCATGTAAGAAAAATGAAAACACATTCAGCGGTAAACATTCATTTGCAAGTCGCTGGATTCTGGAATTCCGGAAGTGGATGATTGTGTTGTGTGTTGTGTGACGTTCCGCGTGGTCGTGTGAGGTTCTCGGGCGGCTCAGGTGTGCTGCTGCTGCTGCCGATCGTCTAGTTTCATGGCCATCGATGTCGTTGGGGGTTTGGGTCTCTCGCTATAGTGTGACATGGTGGGAGTTTTGTTGTTGACGAAGTTTATCTTCGCCCGAACCTGCTGCACATGGAAAAGCTCGTATGATTCCTTACTTCTTCTTTTGCTTTCGCGGAGGAGTGATGGGCCTGCCTGAGCTCATGCCCCCGTAAACGTACTTTTGTTTCTTCTCTGCTGGTTTCAGGATCTATTGGGGGCAAAAAGGTTAGCGCTAGCCGGAGAACACCCGAAGTTCCTTGTCAAAACCAACCTGGAAGGAGCATAGTAGACTTTCGTCGACGCTCATCATTGCACCAGCATTGTCGAATTCGCCGCAGTAGTTGGGCGCACTGAACAATGTGACGAGTTGCCTCTTGGAGAAAAACTCATATCCATCCTCAACGACTTGATGCGCACGACATATCAAGTCCATGTCGTGCTTCTGAAGGAATCGCGATACAACATCCGGGCCGAACGTGAACGAAACGCCACGGTCGTTCTCGCTCCAGCCGGTGATGTCTTTGTCGGGGTCAGACCACAGAAGGTCACACAGGAGACCGCAGTCGGGAATCTATCTCTGTCAGCAGGTGAAGCCTCGAAGCTTCAAGGGGCCCGAGAATATCCTTCGCTTCCAAATGATCCCAAGATGCAGGTGGAAAGAGAGCAGGAAGGCGGACAAAGTAGTTCTTGGTCTTTGGATAACGAACGAACTCCCAGAACCGGCAACCGAAACAAAAATATACTTACATCAGTAGGACGCATGACGCGCCGAATCTGCTCCATGGAGTTCAAATCGGGACTCAAACCTCCGTGCATGGTGAAAATCTTCTCATCAATGATGGCGGCAATGGGCAAGCAGTTGAAGCAATCAGTGAAAGTCTTCCATAGCTTGATGTTGTACCTCCGCTTGCATTCATCGTAGAAACCATAGATACGGTTGATAGAGGCACACTCGTGGTTGCCACGCAGGACGAAGAAGTTCTCGGGGTACTTGATCTTGTAGGCCAGGAGCAAGCAGATGGTCTCCAAGGATTGCTTGCCACGATCGACGTAGTCTCCGAGGAAAAGGTAATTAGCCTCAGGGGGGAAGCCACCGTATTCGAACAGACGCAGGAGGTCGTAGTATTGGCCGTGAATATCACCGCAGATCTGATGAGAACCGCCCGGTTAATGACACTCAATCTAAATCGGATGGCTCGGTATTGGAAGATTCGAAAAAAGAGGTGGCGTTACCTTGATTGGTGCTTCCAATTCCAGCAGGATAGGCTGGGAGATGAAAATCTCTCTCGCCTTAGTGCACAGATAACGGATCTCGGATTCCAAAAGCTGAACTTGCTTGCCTGGCCGGCTACCCCTCACCTCCAGCAATCTATCGATGATCGAATCCAAATCCACTTCCTGATCGGCCATGACTGGGCGATTTTGATGAGACACGACGGGGAGCGGGGGGTGGAAGGAGAAGAACAGAGGAAGGGAAGGTGGGAAAGGAAAAAGATTATTAAGAACAAGCGTCAAGCGAAGGAAAGGAAAGGAAAAGACGCGACGGAAGGCTTTGCGGTGCGCTCGCTAGTAGGACAACTGATGAGAGGACGTCTACTAAGCTGAATAGCAGATGAGGTTTGAAGTCAGAAAATTGTTCCCGGATATGAGATAGAGGTTGGTGGTGGTGGATAGAGTTTTGGGGAAAAGAGGCGATCGAGACGCGCGGGGGAAAAGATCATTGCGCCCGGTGAATTTTTCCTCGACCCTTTTCGCCGATTTCCGCCCACCAATCTATTGTCTTCTTTGCCTCCAGGGGGGAAGAGGAGGGGGGAAGAGGAAAGAATCAATAGTCAAGGGGAGGGAGCAAGATAGAGAGCTTACCAGCCAGAATCTATTAAGACGAGAGCGATGAAGCAAAAAGAGGCCAAATGGCCTTGAGGGGGAGAGGGGGAAAGTCAGATGAAGGTCTGGCCGGGGGAGATGCCAGAAGACGTCAAGAGAAGAAAGCAATCCGTGGTCGAAAAAGGTGGAGGATGATGCGCAGTGGTGATAACGAGGAGATGCGGCTAGCAAAGGCTCGAGAGCGAAAGGGCTGCTCTGGACGGGGCCGTTGCAAAAAATAGCAGCAGGCGGCGGGAGAGATGGTTTTTGGGGGGGAGGGAAGAAAGAGGAGAGAAAGAGAGAGAGAGAGAGACCCAGAGAGACCCAGAGCAAGTTTGGCGGCGGGTAAGAAAGGCAGGAAAACTGAGGATTCCACCCAAAAGATCTAGCGCTCTAAAAGACACCGGGTGCTAACGGCAATCGCGAAGAATCTCTTCGAATAAAGGGAGGGTGAAAAGCTTTTGTTTTCTCTGATATCAACTGGATGGTGATGAGAGAGAGAGAGAGGGGTGGGAGGAGTGTGAGAGGAGAAAAAAAATAATTAAGAAGGAAAATGATGGAGGGGAGGGTAGGAGAGGGGAAGTCGAGTGCGCGCACGCAGTAACTCAAAAGAAGAGAAGCAAGAAGAAAACAACTGTTGGTCGGCAATCAAGGGGATCTATCTTTCTAGGAACTGTGCTCCAGCTAGACAAATGATGGCCGATTTTTGGAGATTCTTCGCCCAAACGAAGTCGAATGGATACAGACGAAGAAGATATAGATGGAACCCAACGAACTGTATAGGAAAGGAGTACGGAGTAGCCAGGCAGCAAAAGGTGGATGGAGGAAGAGGAGTACGGAGTACTAGAGCGATAACGAAGCAACAACTTTCCAGCAGCACAAGAGACGCGCGCGCGCGAGAGAGTGGGTGGGCAAGTGGGCAGTGGCAGTGGGCAGTGGGCAGTGGGTAGCGTAGCGGGCAGTGAGTGAGTGGGCAGTGGAGAGTGAGGAAGTAAAGAAGAAGAGGTGGAGAGGATGAAGCGGCGCGGGAGAGCCAGGAGAAAGAGAGGGAAAAGGATTCTTTCTCTGTTACTTTCATCGGTATGGCAAAATCCTCGTTTTCCGTGCAGATCGGCCTCGTTGATTGGTCTGCAGCCCAAGGCGGCGAGAAAGAAGAGGAGGAGGCGACTAAGCTGGAGGTCGGTTTGAATGTAACGGAGTATACAATCAATCTTGACAACAACAACAACAATAACAATAACAGAACCTAAACAACCACAACCACAACTACCACCTACCACCTACCACCTACCATCTGCAACAATAATCATTGAATGTTCTGCATTTCCCCACCCGCATCATATTTCCGATCGCTGCACTTCCGATATAACCACAGACTAATGTCACGCTCCCCATTGCGCATACCTCTCTCTCCCTCTCAGTCATCCATCAGCAGCAGCATCCTCTTGAGTTGATCCTTCCATTCCATCCCAACCCGACCAGGCCAGACCAATTCCCAACACGGGTGATTGGCACTCTCCCAAAACATGAATCCTCCTCCCCCGGACAACCTCACGCGATAGATTCTGCAAGGAGGTTGACGGCCTGAAGTGAGTATACTTCCCCCACACTTGGCATCAAAGGTAATGGAGGCAATGCGGTAGGAGGCGTCAACTAGTTACTAGGTAGTACTTACTCTCCGTCATCGTCGAGCCGTCGGTCGGCGCACGAGCACCCTCCCCCGACCATCCGTCTGTCTGTCTGTCTGCCCAACAGCAGCACAGGAGGTTCCAGAAGAGCAGGTGTCATATCCCTTCCTCAGTAATTGTTCACAACAAGCTTCCGGGCGGATTTCCGCCCTTTCCAGAATCGTTCCATTCGTTTCATTCATTCGCGGATTGACCGCGGCTACGAAAATTATTGGGTGTCTATGGAGGCGATGACGCACAGATGCCGAGTTCGAAAGCAACCCAAATCGCATGGCATTTCAACTATTGGCACTATCGCTGGCAGATTCTTTGACTCATCACAATATTTTCGTGTCTCATGCATTAGGTCCGAAACTTCATCATGGGTCTTGTGAGAAATCCGAGAAAAAAAAAGGCCGCTTCATCAGAAAGGGAGAAATGGGTACTGCGAGTTGAAGCACGAGAATAAAAGTATACAGCGTGAGCACCCAAGCAATCGCAAGCCAAACAGAAACCGGCCATCAAGAGAGCATTGGACGGGTCAGAAACAAAACAATGCTAGTAACGCCGCACCTGGACTCCAGCACCAAATACAATACAAAGCGGTCTAAAGTAGGAAGCAATGTTCTTTCATCACGCCTCCAATCGAAATGGACCAGCCGAAAAAAAGGTCTCATGCACGTCATAAAATGTATAGTTGTGGGGAAGGTAGAGGAGCAGGAGAGCGAGGCGAAATGGGTAGTGATGTAAAGAACCAGGTAAGGCGTGGCACGCCGTGGACCTATAAGCTGGAAATGATCTCAAAACGCCATGGATTATGCAGTTCAGCAAGTAGTTGCCAGTCGCACATATGGGAAATTTCGGCATTCAACATGTCGAGTATATTCAAGAACCCGAATTAAGTGTCATGGAAGAATCGCTTTTGTCGAAGCCAAGGTAACTTTTCCGTATCGCGGAGATGAATGTCGTGTCTCAGTCAAGTGAGGTTGGTATCGTCGGTCAGGTCATCGATGTTCTGCGCTCCGCCCTCGTTTTCCCCTTCTCGTTCTTTCTTTCATCTCCCTTGCTTTTGAGTTTTCTGCTTTTTTTTTGTGTCGATTCCAGTTCTGTCGTCTCCAACCGGACCTTTGTGTTTATGACCTAGGTCATCCGAGTCGCTAGTCGTGAAGCATCTTAAACCTAAAGCGCGGACCAAAACTCATTTCAACTCAGAGCATGTCCTCCACTTAGTATGACCGGTGGGCTCACCCTGGTCAGGGAATCGGCCGGCATTCTGGTCGCTTCGGTAAAATCAGTCCCTGTGCGGGGCACAGTAACATCAGTTGGACTGTGTTTCCAGCCCCGGTCACCGAGTTGCGCAAGCCACGTGTTGCCCAGTTCCTGCCGGAGAGCATCCAATTCCCGTCGGTAAAAATCCTCATCCATACTCCAGCCTATGCTCTGTAGTGCTCGCTGAGGTGTAGGACGCTCTTCGGTTTGACCAATGGATTGTGTTTGTTCATGGTCGAAATTACTGGAGTTCTTAGGGTTGGGAGGTCTGGCCTGGGGTCCACCATCAGATTTCCATTGACGGTCGAAAGACGGCGAGATAAACGGGTCTTCAAGTGATTGGACATGGTGAACAGGAAGAGTAGAAGGCACCACTGCACCTGGAGTATCATTACCATCAGTGGAGGGTGTCTCCTGCGGTCGATCGATGATCCTCCGCCGAGTTCCCTTTTTGCGACGCGTCGACCCCACCTCGACTTCACCCTGGAACACACGACCAGTGGGTCGCCCCTGTTCGTGAAGCAACGGGGCTGTCTGGTTGATGGTGTTGGATGATGGTTTGCTGACCACGGCTGAGAGATCAGCCGCAGCCGATCGTATGACAGGTGCAGCTTCGGGTTCCGCAGCTCGCTCCACCAGCTGTTTCCGTTCCGTGTATCCGGGCCCGGAACCATCAATGATGATGTCTTCCGAGTACCCGGGAGTACGGCGGAAAAGATTGAAGATGATCACGCGGTAATTAGGATGCGTCTTGACAAACGGATTACCCGATACCCAGATCTCCCGTATCTCAGGGAGGTTTGTGAGCCTGGCGATCTCTGTCGGATCGGAGAGGTTGTTATCGCGAAGATCCAACCGCTCCAAGGAGAGCAATCTCTCAATGCCCGCGAGAGAGCGAAGACGATTGCCACGAAGGTTGAGGGCGGTGATGGCGGGAAGAGGATTGCGGGACAGCGAGTGGAGAGATTCTATCATGCAATGCGAAAGGTTCAAAGCGCGTAAAGCAACAAGGGTCGATAAACTATCGGGGACTTCAGTAAACAGGTTGGCCGAAATGTCGAGCGAATGAAGTGTGTTAGCTACAGGCGTAAGACCGGCAGCAGAGATGCTAGTCAAGGAATTATCGGGAAGCCCAAGATGACGCAGGAACCTCCATTTAGAAGCGGGGAGTACCCCAGCCAGTAGATTGGAGGAGCTTCCGTTGCGGTGTCCCGAGGTGTCGCTGGAGTTTGAGCTGCCGGAGCCGGTGCGTCGAATGCGTGAGGCAGTCCCCCGATTATGGCGGTAGGACGAGTGTTTGGAGCTCGTTGGGCGCGAAGGAGAGATACTTCCAGTTCGATGGCGGCTTTTCGAACCTTCCGACGCCATCCGAACCATCGAGGCTGCTTGAGGACTTGTACTCGTTCCGAAAGCCGTATCGGCGACCGGTGATCCTGGCGCCGAAAGGGACCCCGGTGTGTGAGATTTGTTGTTGACAGGTCGAGGGTGCACAGATTGGCTCCAGCCCATCATCGGCCCATTGTTATGGTTTCTGGTTGATCGGCGGCGTCGTTTGTCGATGTCATCCAGTACGATCCCAGTGAGTAACTCGGCAGGATCATCGATGTTTGCCCGCTTGATCGTCAATGTCCGCAGTTGCTCTGACAGTCTGTCCCAACCGAAAAAGGATCGGAAGTCTATATCGATAATCTCTAAAGCGCTCAAGTTCTTGAAGGAGTGGAGGGGCACTGCAGTGTCAAATGGGAACTCTTCATACCCGCGAATCAAACGGGCACGACGATCAGGGGCTAGCCGTAGGCAAGGAATCTTGGTAAAAGCAGAGTATAGGTACTTGGTATCCGCCTCTAGAGCCGCCTTGGCCTTTTCTGACCTGGAGACGGGGTCTTTGGATACCAAACCAAATGAGGACCAAAGCGAACTCATACCAGACATAACACTACGGACACTGGATACGGAGTGGATCGAATCTCGATCCCCCCGGGATCGCTGGGGCTTATTCAAGAATGAGACGTAAGACTGCGAGATGTCTGTATGGATGTTTTCCAGTCTAACATTCAAGGGTCCCACAGCAATGGAAAGTTCTTCGAAGCAGGAGAGGAGGTAGAAGAGATGATGAGGGGTGAGGGTGAGTTTGGCAGGCTTGACGCTCTGCGAGGCGAACTTTAAAGCACCGAACGAAAGCGCAGCTGCCAGGGTGGATGAAGCCGAGCTCGCGGCCGAGCCGGCTTGAGGGTGTGTGGTTTGCACATTTTTGGCAGGTTGGCGTTTCAGCTGCAGAGCGTTCGCCAATGCCTTCTCATGCGTTCGTACGAAACTTGCGAGGTTCTAACGGCGGAAGCACATGTTAGAGCACAATGGCATTGAGGTGCATAGCACAACAAACCAAATCGGGGCGTGGCAACCATGTGGGAGGGGGGGAACACCAACCTTGATGAAAAGCTGGCCATCTTCACTGTTCAGCTTCTCCATAACGGGAAATACTTTTGCCCAACAAGACAGGGAATATCTAGCTAGGCGGACTCTGAAAAGGAACGCTCAAGTACTCGTAGTATGGACAGCAAGAGTCGACATCTTGCTAGCCAAGGCACTCGGGAAAAAAAAAAGCTGTGAAGTGCTGCAAGTCAGCAGCAACTCTTGAAAGTTGGCAAGACCTAATGAAAGAACACAGAACAAGGATATTGGAAAGTACCTTGATGGGATATATATGAGGTACAACGGTAAACAATCAACAAACGTGAACACAACAAGCCGCCCACCACAACAATGTAAGATGGAAGAAAATCGAGGAAGAGTTTGGAGAAGGAAAGGACACGCGATAATAAAGGGGGGTATCCTTGAAGTCAGTTGAGAGAAGCTTGTCACCGGGACAAAGCTGAGGAGGGGACAGGAACAAGATGAGGTAGAAGGTATCACCAAAAAAGGAGAAGATGGATGGATGATGGGATGGGGATAGCGATAGAAAAAAAGAGGACCGGGGGGAGCTAATATGCAAGCACCACGGACCTACTGATTTAGCCTAGTGGGTGGTATGTGACGGATGGGGGGGGGAGAGAGA